ACAGTTGGACACGACTGATGTGACTCAGCAGCAGCAGCAGCAGCAACCAGAATAATGGGGCTTCCCAGGTGGTGCTAGAGGTAAAGAACCCACCGCCCAAAGCAGAAGTAAGAGACTCGGGTTCAATTCCTGGGTCGGGAAGATCCCCTGAAGAAAGGAATGTCAACCCACTCCAGGATCTTGCCTGGAGAATCCCATGGACAAAGGAGCCTGCTGGGCTACCATCCATACATTCGCACAGAGTCGGACACGATTGAAGCGACTTATCACGCACATGCACCAGAATAATGAAAATTCGCTCAGAAATCTTAAGTTCTGTCTTAGTAAGCATCCCATTCTATAAGTAATAATCAGTTTCAATATTCGTGTAAGACACTTTTAACCAAATCGACATAAGCTAATTAGAGTTGGCATGTTGATTTTATATAACTTAAAATAAAGGGAGTGATATTTTACATTTTTTCCTGTGTATCCTTATTAGTTATGTGTATAATTATTATTAGAGTCTTTGAAAGACAACAAATACAGGCCCTACATCACCATGGACCCCTAGAAATCTGGGTAACCCAGGCTGGAAACTTAGCTTTATGTGACATAGATCCAGAACACACACCATCTCAGGGCTTCCTTAAGGATATTCTGCTGAGACTCGAAGGATGCATGTCCTGCTCTGCATGCTTATTCATGTCCATCACAGGACAAATGAATCACTGCACTGAGGGCCAGGTGTTGCTTCCCTGTCCCCAGGAGGACAACACTAGATAGAAGAGAACGTGGGTTTAATGGACACACTTCCCTGTTATGATGACAGAGAAACATACACCTTGGTGCTTGAAGGGGGTGATGATAACACCTTCCTTGGAAGGGTGGTGATGCTTAAAAATGAGTCCTGTGGTTCCCCCCTTTCTCTTGGGTTTCTGGGGGCAGCTGACAATGACCAGTGCTCACTGCGTATATAAATGGTACCTGTTAGGTCCCATGTGAACTTACCTGCTTGGGCAGCTTGTACCCAAATCTGTAATGCCGTTGGCAGGCCCTCCTTGAACTCCTGGGAGAGGCAGGCTGACACGGCACAAAACAACTCTGGACTGAAGTATTGCTCAGAAGCCACGGTTCACAGCAGCAGCTCAAGGAGTAAACTGCACAACTCATCCACGATCCCCTGTCTCTTTGAGGGAAATTTTCTCTTCCCTCAGTCTTATCCCTCCGCCCTTTCCTTAGAGCATTTACTTCAGAAAACTTGAAATTGTAAATCCTTTCCCTGCTCCTTTGAGATGTAAATCTTAAAAAAAAAAAAAAAAAAGCTTCCTGTAGGCTTTACAATCAAGGAACATCTTTCTCAGGGCCTGGGAGCCATCTCTTTGAAATGTAGTTGAGGACCAGAGCCCCTTATCTCCCGGTCTGGTGGAGGCTGTAAGTCTAATTAAGGTGCCTGGTTCCAACAGCAAAACTACCTCCCGTCATAAAGATGAGAGAAGGGTATTTTTCCTTTAGATAAAGGCAATTAGCTAATGTGCATGATCATCCCAATTAACAGGTAAATTAGGATGAATCACTTATGGTTATCATTTATCTGGAGACCATGTATGAAAGTTGTATGTACTTGTCTGTACATAAGGTGATTTCTTTCCATCTTTGCCATCTCTAGTGAATTGCCTGTATTGTGTGCCACATTCTGGTTTAATGCTTATTCAATAATACAAGTGTTTCTTCTTCAACTTTTGTGAAAGGATTTTCTGGGTTAGTGGGAGATTTTGTTTTCCATGATAACCCCTAACTCCTCTTTCCCCAGACTTTCAACTTTCTCCTTCACCCGCTCCTGAAACTACATTTTGTCCCCAAGAAACTCTTCTACAAATGAACCTTTTTCTGGAACTTTCTTCTGCTTCCCAGGTTTACCTGAAAGCTGCTACCTTTGGGCCACAGGGCAGCCAGCAGGGCGGTGTTGTTTGGCCACCTTTAACTTTCCTGACAGAAACAATATGTTAGCTCCCCTCTTCTAGGACTTCAAACAGTAATTTGGCTTCTGAGTCTGTGTCTTCACCTATAAGAGAAGGATAACCCAACTTGTTGTTAAGAGTGGCTGTGAGAATTAAATGAGAGAGTGGATGTAAAGAGAATGAAGGAATCCTGTTTCCACCACCCAGTAAACATGTAGCTGCAAGGAAATTCTTCATCTCTAAATTTTAGTTTCTTTTTCATTCAGAGCAGAGATTATAGTAACATGTTTCCTTCATGGTTTGTTGTGAGAATTAAGTGAGATAAACTCTTTAAGCACTTGGTAACTTATCTTGACCAGAAGCTGTGCACTGTCTGATTAGTGGGTGATAATGATGAAAATATTTGCTCTATTCCCTCCAAGCCCCCTGGAGATGAAGCTGTTCAACCTCCCCCCACATCACCTCTGTCTCGGGGCCAGGAAGCAGGGCTGACACATTTTGGTCCTCACCTGTTTGCCCCCGCCCCCACCCCGCCCCGTGCCTTCTGAACCACATATCTACTGCTTCCTTTCAACAGCACTTTTTCTTTGGGACTGCCTTACTCCTCTTTTAGTCTCTCAGCTTGTCTGGCACATGGTGGGGAGGGGAAGATGCAATAAAATGTAATATATTATTACTCTTAAATCCAAGTATCACTCAGAACTCCTGTGGTATAGTCTGTATGAAACCTAAGGAGCGCATCAGGGTGACCCAGGTCCAGCTTAGCACAATTCTGTTCACATCAAGCTGGAATTTACTGAACATCTCAGACAGCCAATCAGAGGACACCTGGACTGAGACGACTCCACCAAAGGGGAAAGAGCCTATTTCGTAGGAGCTGGGGTGAAGAATTGGAGCCTGAGCTCAAAAGATCCTTTGCCTAGTCTTATATTTCAGGATATTTTGTACAGGGCTTTGCTAGGACAGCAGTTAGTAAGTCAGGAAGGAAGGCAGGGTGGGTGCAGAGGAATTCTAGAGTTCTGGAAACTCTGGCTATGCCTAGGCTACCTTGCCCATGGTCTTCTTTTCACCTGGAATACTGATCTCACCTGTCTTGAAATAAATCTTTTTTTAAAAATGGAGTACAGTTGACCCACAGTGTTGTGTTACTTTCTGCTGTACGGCAAAGTAAATCAGTTATATTCTTATTTGTTTATTTAGTTACATAAGGAATGCCACTCAGCATGCGGGATCCTAGTTCCCTGATCAGGGATTGAACTCACGTCCCCTGCAGTGGAAACTCTGAGTCCTAACCACTGGACTGCCAGGGAATTCCCGATCTTACCCATACAGATAATAATACCCCTTTATTATCTGTATGGAATGATCTTTTCCACACTCTTCACTCAGAAATCTTTGACCTGATGAACACAGGCCTATTTTCTTTTTTCCCTATTTCACCTAATAGAAACAAGACAGATACATTGATTTTTTTTTTCTTTAAGCAGAGTCTGGTTTTTTGGAAGCAGGAAGTCATCTGACAAGAAGTGAACACATTTCCAGATCCAACTTACGCCAAGCACCTGGGGTTCTGGTTAGAACTTGGAGTTCATTTTGTGTTTGAATTGTTGTTTACCCACTGACTTCCTGGTTCGTATCTAAGGTTCATCAAATTCTTTGACATTTGGTTCAGAGACTTCATCTGTATTTCTCTGAGGTCATTTCATTATTCATTTGATATCCAAATATTGGGAAAAACTGTTTTCCAATTTCCTAAGTATATTTACACACCCCTTTCCAGGTGGCTCAGTGGTAAAGGATCCACCTGCCAATGCAGGAGATGCAAGAAACATGGGTTTGAACCCTGGATCAGGAAGACCCCATGGAGAAGGAAATGGCAACCCGCTCTAGGATTCTTGTCTGGAAAATTCCATGAACAGAGGAGCCTGGCAGGCTACTGTCTATGAGGTCACAAAGAACTGGAAACGACTGAGCACGCACACTAAACATACATACATAGTATCATCTGTTTCCATTCTTCCACCTTCTTCCCCTACCTTCGCTCTCAATACCCTTTCCATTGCTCTCAAATCTCAGAGGATAAAGCATTGTTCCTACCTTGATTTTATTTCCACATTTTTCTGCAACATCTTGAATTTATTCCTCTTCTGGTAGTTCTTCCCCTGTCCACAATTATTTTATTCTTTCCTTGTAGAGAAATCTCTCTTTTAAGCGGGTGCTCCCCTCTTCCTGCTCTGTCGCTTTTAAACATTTTACCCTGATTCCTCCACACTTTTTATCCTATTCCTCATCTCTCTATTTACTCCTTCATCCATTTATCTTGATTCTGCTGTAGCATTTCCGCAGAAAAAAATCCTTGAATCCTTCTTTGATATTTCTTTTATAAATTCGATTTTGCTGAGTGGTTTCCTTTTTAACAAATAAAAGTATTTATCATCTTTCCTTATACAAGTTCACTTAAAATATTTGAAAATTGGGATAAAAAATGATGAGAACAAATCTATTATTAAAAATATTTATTGAACACTGGAGGAAGCACAGGCTGGAGGGTGGATTGAAATAATGAATTTGATTCCTAGAACGTCGTATTGAGCTGGTTGGGTGTTATCCAGTATGTCATTAAGGCAGTTCAAAGTACAGATATGAAATTCAGGGAAGATTTCAGGCTGGGAGTAGAGTGATAACAAAATAATGTGACTGTGTATTAGATACTGCACTGGGAGATTTAAATTACTTTCCTTATCTAGTCATGTTTTTATAAATTAGGAAATTAAAGCAAAAGCTGTGATGCAACTTAGCCAGGTTAATAAGTGGACTCTCCAGAGTCCACACTCTAACCTCTCCCGTGTACTTCCTCTCTCAGCCTCTCTCAATTTCAATCTCTCTTATTCCTAATTTGGATATAGGGATATTTTGGCTTATTTTCCTTAAGAGATGCGTATGTTTTAATGTATGACCTGGGTTTGATTCCTGGGTTGGGAAGATCCCCTGGAGAAGGAAATGGCAACCCACTCCAGTATTCTTGACTAGAGAATCCCATGGACTGAGGAGCCTGGCAGGCTACAGTCCATGGGGTTGCAAGAGTTGGACAAGACTTAGCGACTAAACCACCACCACTTCTAGCTCTAGCCCAACTATTAGGGGATTAATTCATAGTCTTAACGTTTGATTCTTTTTCTCCCTCCTTTGGACCTCGTGGCTTGACTTTCTCTCCTCATAGGTTTTCCAACAGCAAAGAATAACAATCTCAACCACATGTCATCCAAGTAAGAAAATAATTCTTGGTCTTGACTGAAAGGACACTGAATTCCCTATGTACCCGGTAAGGGGAGTGTCTTCTTTGGTGATCAGTAGACAGGCTGGCCGCTCTGGACACCTCCTCATCTGTGACCACGGTAGTTACCGTGAGAAGGACATCTGACCTCTGATATGCAGCCAAGAAGGGAAATCAGAGGCTGGTTCTTCTGGTGAGTTGACAAAGGGGTCCATGGGAAATGAAGAGGTGAGGACAGGGAGTATAGACATTTCAAACGAGTTTGGTCTGAGTGGTGAGAGATCTGTGTTGGCAGAGATTTGGTGCTGAGGGTGCGTTTTCTCTAAGTTAAGAGAGGCTTGACTATATTTAAATGCTGATGGAAAGGAGCCTGCAGATGAACACTGTTAATTTTTTCATGCTTACACATTCAGATATGTTTCTTTTTTTATGCTGGATCTCTGTGCTTCCACTTCTATGTGGTGTTATTATTTAAAATTTTTTCTTGGAGTGTAGTTGATGTACGATGTTGTGCTAGTTGCAGGTGTATGGCAGAGTGAATCAGTTATACACATACATATATCCACACTTTTTAAAGATTCTTTTCCCGTATAGGCCATTACATTACAACATATATTTTTATAAACATACATAAGATAATTTTAGAAAAATAAAAAACTATATAAAACAGTAAAAAAAGAATGAGAATGAAAAAAAATCACTTGGAATGTCACCATTGAGAGGTAGCTGTTGTTAACCTTTACTGGCTTTTGGGGGGATATATATATATGCATATGGATATAGCAGGTCTTCAGTTCCTGGCGTTCTGTTCCAGGGTCTCAAGGACTGTTTCTATTTCTCTCTATCCCCCAGCCAACACTGGAGCAGATACAAAGATTCAAATCTCAGCTTAATTTCAAGAAGAAAGATACAGTTGCATGCTTGCTGAGCTATGGTTTCCCTCTCCCAGAGACCAGACAAGACAGGGCTGGAGGAGAGAAGGAGGGGTTGAGTGGAGTTGGAGAAAATGAGGGGTCACAGTCCTCGGGTTGCATGTTGAGGACCTGGGAGCTGCCTGTCAGAACTCAGTGCTGAACCAGTTCTTGAATGTGGACCCACACAGTCCATTTATCCTATAGAAAACTCTCTACAACAATCCTGGGCTCTTCCAAAGCCTCCCTGGGCAGGTGGTACATTGGGATCTATGATGAGGCTATGATGAGGTCCCTCTGGACCAAGGATAACTAGGCAGAGTCATTGTGACGAGTGGGATCATTGCCACTGTTAATCTATGTAAACTGTTTACTGAATGAGCTGCACTTGGTAGGAGGAAAAAAGGGAAACAATATTTTTCTCATCACCACCTTTGAAAACCTTCTCTATAAAACCATTTTTTTCCACCTCCAGAAGAAACTACAAGCAGTTTTTAATACCTTTTCCAAACACTGTCAAATAAATAAGAAGTCAAGTATGGTATCAAGGCCTTCCCAGGTGGCGCTAGTGGTAAAGAACACGACTGCCAACGCAGGAGACATATGAGATGCAGGTTCTATCCCTACGTTGGGAAGATGCCCTGGAGGAGAGCATGGCGACTCACTCCAGTATTCACGCCTGGAAAATTCTGTGGACAGAGCAGCTTGGCAGGCTGCAGTTTCAGAGTCAGACATAACTGAAGCAACTTAGCATGAACATACATGATATAAAAACTCTAAACTTTTATCCATTTAAAATCTTTCCCTTCCCTTATGGACTATTCTGGCCTGGAAGCATACATCTTTGGGATGATTGCCAATGCCCCCTGCTATATATCCCTGACCCCTTCTCTCCTGTGTTGATTTGTGGGAAGTCCTACTGGTAGTCTCTCTCAGGGAGACCTAGTAAGCCTTCCTCCCAAGTGCACTCGATCTCTGACCCACAGGAAAATTTGCCCTGCCATTGTCTGGACATGTGGGCTGTGACCAACAGAACCATTTTGATTTCATTTGTAGAGCAGTGTGACAGGATAGCTTCTTCTTCTGGAATTTTCAGGAGAAAGATTGATATCACTCCCCATTCCTTCAAATCCAGAGGACACATGTCACACTCCCTGCATGTTTCTCTGGAAGCCTCTCTCATCTAGTTTAGCATGAAGGGAGGAATCAAATTCTTCCTCCTCAGCACACTGACATTCCTCTCCATAGGAATTCCCAGTGATGGGGATGAATTCTGAGGTTACTCTCATAGAATCTGGAGATGGGGGATGACAGAGTCCTTTGAACTATCTTTGCTCTGCACAGGTGGTATAACACCCTGCTTTAGAAGTGAGGGTGCTTGTGAGTGCTAAGTTGCTTTGGTTGTGTCTGACTCTTTGCGACCCCATGGACTGTAGGCCTCCAGGCTCCTCTGTCCATGGGATTCTCCAGGCAAGAATACTGGAGAGGGTTTCCATGCCAACTTCCAGGGGATCTTCCCAACCCAGGGATTGAACCTATGTCTCCTGAATTGCAGGTGGATTCTTTACCTCTGAGCTACCAGGGAAGCCCAGAAGTGAGGGTACTTGGTACTTATTATTATTATTTAGTTTTGGGGGCTTTTGCCAAAACAAAGACATAAAGGTCCCATTCAAAATTCAGTTACACACATAGGACACAGACACATTCAAAAGAACTTTGTCATGCTATACATAGACTGCTTTTTTCAATGGACACTATACTGTAATAACTGTACATGCATATCTTACCTTAATGGAGTATAATTTTCATTTTAATTATTAAATGAAATAATTGAAAGCTCATATAAAAATTCAGAAAATATGGAAAGGTGAAATTTCCTATTTGCTATTGAAATTCTCTCTGTAAAAAGTCATTTTATTTTCTATAGAATTCCAGTTTCATCCATCTCATTAGAACTGATTCAAATGAATTCTTTTTAATGGCTGAGTAATATTCCATGGTGTATATGTACCTCTTTCCAAATTTTTTATCACCAATGTATAAACATATGTATAGACAAAAATTAGGAATAGGACTATATTTTATTTACAGCTCAATGACTTAATGCTGACTTCTCATCTTGTGCATTGCTCTTATTTTATTAGTATATACAGCCTTACCTCATTGTGAAAAGTGGCAGCCTCCTATTTCAAAGAATGAATATACTTTCTTTACTTCAGCCACTTCTCTGTTGATAGATTTTTAGAGGCTGTTTCCAATTTCCCCCTATATTAATAATGCTTAAGTGGAATTCCTTGTGTACATGTGTGAATATTTTTGAAGGATAGACTCTTAGAAGTTGAATTGCTGGCTCAAGGGATATGTTCCTTTAAAATACTTTCCTTACTAACCGTTTGTTTTATCATATGTTGTCAGAAGACTGATCAGCTTTCTTCTATTCAGAATGGCTCTTTCTATGTTAAAACTCCAAGCATAACACTCATGGCCTGTCTTCACTCCTAAGCAGAACTGACTCAAAATGAGTGGGGAGTTTGGAAGAACAGATTCAACAGGTGCGGTGGGCTGAGCACCTGTTCTCCTTCCCTTGGGACCCAACCTGCCCTTGGAGTGCATCTGTTCTGCAGTCTTCCTCCCATGCTGGGGGGGCCTCCAGCACTATCTGTAAGTAGATGGGCAACTGTATTTAACTCTGGGATCCAGTGGTAGAAAGCTTCTTTTGTATAGACCTGAGCTTCATTCTCCACTATCAGATATATAAGTATCTATATATAGGTAGTATCTATGCATAGGTAGTACCTATGTATAGGTAGTATCTATGCATAGGTAGTACCTATGTATAGGTAGTATCTATTTTTAAAATTAATTAATTTATTAATTGTTTTCTCTTTTGTCTGTCCTGGGTCTCGGTTTTTGAGAGGACTTTCTCTAGTTGCAGCGAGTGGGGTCTACTCTCTCGTTGCAGTGTGCGGGCTCCTCAATCCAGTGGCTTCTCTTGTTGGACAGCATGGGCCCTAGGCAACACGGACTTCAGTAGTTGTGGCACAAGAGTTTCGTTGCTCCGTGGCATGTGGGATCTTCCCAGACCAAAGATTGAATAACCGTGCATTATAAGGTGGATCCTGAACCACTAGACCACCAGAGAAGCCTGAATGGCTTCTTAATCAACTTTTGCCATATTCCTTAAAAAGATCAACTTTTTATTCTGAAATGCTTTCAAACTTCAATAAAAGTCACACAAATAAGCAAGAAAACTTGTATATACCCTTCACCCAGATTTCCCAATTGTTAATAATTTACATTTGCCTTATTATTCTCTTACTTATTTTTATTATTTTCAGTCATTGTGATATGACACCCAATTACCTTTAAATAAATAGTGTATATTTCCTAAAAACAAAGACATTAATTGAGATAAGCATAGTATACCCATCAAAATCAGAAACTTCACACTGATACAATACTACCATCTAATCAATATTCAAATAATGTCAGTTGTCCCAATCATATCCCTTGTAGCAGAAAAAACAATAACAAAAGAAAACCAGCAACAACAGAAATCTCTTCTGTAGTGCCTGGACTTTCCAGAATTGAATCTAGGATCATGCATGATATTTGGTCTTCATATCTCTTTAGCTTCCTTCAGTCTGGAAAACTTCACTGCTGTATCTCCAGGGTCCAGAAAAATCCCTCAAGTTAGTATTTGTTGAATGAATTAACACCAAATACATTTCCAGTTAAAAAGCTAAAAGAAAACTTTTGGGACAGGTGTTGGGAAACTCAAGAAGAAATAAAAGCAGGACAGGGCTACCGCCAGAAATGAGACTTGCTCTTCCCCCAGGAGTCCTGGAGAAACTTGAAGCCAGGAATTAAGAAGCTTGAGGAGAAACTGACTGAGGGGGTAATCATAAAGATAAATAAGCAAATGACTGTTCCTGGAATAGCCAGGCTAGTCATCCCCCGCCACACCTCATGTTTACAGAGTGACTGACTGAAGGGTTTGCTCTGGAATGAGCAAACAGAGAGAGGAGTGAACCAGGGCCTCTCGTGACTCTGGGGCTTCAGATGGTCACAGAGGAGAAAAGAAAGGTAAAACTGTTCTTCGGGGGGACACTGGCTTACCTGTTGACCCCATTTCCATAACATCTACATATCTTAATAAGAAACCCTCTGTCAACATCCTCATCATGTTTGCTCCTCTAGGCCTTCCAGGAGAAGGAAAGCCATCTCTGATGGAAACCTGTGCCAGCTATTTATAGCATGATAAAGTGGGAGGAGAGAAAGAGCTAAAGGTGCCTCATTTAAAACAAAGAATTACCAAATATTTGCAGAAGAAGAACAGTTTGAAAAAAAAGAATCAAGATAAAAATATAGAGTAACTAATAGGGGGGCTTCCCTGGTGGCTCAGACGGTAAAGAATCCGCCTGCAATGAAGGAGACCCTGGTTCAATCCCTGGGTCAGGAAGATCCCCTGGAGAAGGGAATGGCAACACGCTCCAGTATCCTTGCCTGGAGAATCCCATGGACAGAGGTTATAGTCCATGGGGTTGCAAAGAGTCAGACACGATTGAGTGACTAACACTTTCACTTCAATTCATGATGAAGCAAATGTTTTTTCATTTCACACAAAAATTATTATTATTTAGGAAAACTTGAGTGGATATTAAATTCATAAAACTAGGGCAGATTTCAATGAAGAAAGGCAAATTTCTAAACAAGAAAGATTTATAATTTTAAAAGATGATTTTAAAAGTAAAACAATGAATAGGAGGGCTAAGTAACTGAAAGCACATGACTGAAAGCCAAATCAGTAATTTGGAAAAGAAGGGATTTTTTTTTTTTTTTTGTAATGTAAAGCAAAAAAGACAACAGAAATAATGGGACTAATGTTAAGAGATATAGAGGATATGTCCAGGAGAATATATATTCATTGAAAAGAGAAAGAGAAGAAAACAGAAAGTGAAAGTGAGTCACTCAGTCGTGTCTGACTCTTTGCAACTCCATGGACTGTAGCCTGCCAGGCTCCTCCGTCCATGGGATTTTCCAGGCAAGAATACTGGAGTAGCTTGCCATTTCCTTCTCCAGAGGATCTTCCTGACCCAGGGATCAAACCTGTGTCTCCTGCTTGGCAAGCGGATTCTTTACCACTGCACCACTTGGGAAGCCCATTATTATACATTATAACAATACAAATTAACAATATCTGAAATAAAATTATAATCTCATCAAAATTTTGCAGACCAAGTAGGAAAGAGGGGTAAATTATATATAAAATTATACATGACAAAGGTCTCATTTTTTGCAGGGGAAAGTCATGGATATTATTGTTGATATTGATATAAAAATACTGAAATAGGTTTGTTAGAAATATATTTATCAACAGAATGAGTATAGTATGGAGTTGTGGCAGTGTGTTACTGGCCTACTCAGTATCCATTCTTGGTTTCTTTCATAGACAGAGAATTCTGATGAAGTTTTCTAGCCACTCTGGCAGTAAGTAGTGGTCCCATTAGTAAATGTAAGTGGAGTACTGTGTGAATGTGTCCCGAAAGGCTTCTCAAAAGGAGCTGATTCACTTGACCTTTGCCCTTTGTGCCTGTTTTCTTCCTACTGCTTAGAAATCGTCCCACAAGGCTAACGCCCAAGCAGCTGCTTTATGACCTTGAGAAACAGTAGTTATGTTCTAAGAACCGTGGAGCAAAAAGCGGAAAGATGGCTGGATTCCTGAAGACATTGGAGCATCCTTTCCAGTCTTGATACAACTGATGTGTACTGACTTTAGTCTCTAGACTTCTTTTGCTTGGGAAACAAGCAGTCATGTCTTTAAGCTGCTTATTTTGGAATTTCTGTTTTATGTAGCCGAACTGAATTTTAGCTGATTTAGAATCTTCTATACTGGGAAAGGGAAAAGAGGAACAACAGCAAAAAGTTTGATCCACCCAGTGACGGTTGAGAAGGCAAGGGAAAAAAAGAAATCAAGAACAAGGAAACCAGGTAAAGAAACGGCAGGGTTAGAAAGTGAACTGAAGTCATTGATTTCTTTTGTAAGGGACAGATCACAGAAGTTGAAAATAAAGGTATAGTGAGAGAAATGTTAGGTAAAAGAGATGGCAATATTAATACATGGCAAAATAGAATTCAAGACCAAAATACTTAGGGGAATATCAAGTGCTATTTAGATAGCTTAAATAGAAAAAAGGTAAAATTCACCAAGAGGATAAAGTAGTTACCAACATTCATGCACTGAATTTGCATTGAAACAAAACAGACACTATTAAAATTATGAAGAATATTTGACAAAGCCATGATCTCTGTAGGAAGTCTCAGGAAGTGATGATTCATGTGGACTGAATATAATTTTATATATGGCAGATTTGAATAACACAATAGATAAGTTTTCTTTGAATGTTATACCCAATGAAAAGAGAATAAACACTTTTTTCAACACCCATAGGGCTTTACAAAATTGATTAAATACTATGTACCAAAGAAAATCTGAATTAATTCTCCAAAAAGAGATTATAAAGGTCACATTCTCTTAATACAGTAAAATACAAGTTAGAAATTAAAAATGAAAGGGAACTGGTAATAATTTAAAAAAAACCTAAAACTAACCATTGGGGTAAAAGAACAACGTTCTTTATAATTTTGGGGTCAAGAAGAAAACCAAAACTTAAATTATGATTGTTCGGAAAGAATGTTATATGAACACTATACATTTCTCCCTGGATTGAAGTCAATGGAGTTTTTAAAGGATTCCTGGTGTTTAGCGCTTTTATGAGAGATGAATACTCAGCAAAAACAAATTCAGGTTTAGTGGTTAGGAAATGGCCAACCAAATACCCTGAGAAATAGAAGAGAGGAGAATGTGAATAGATATAAAAATAGAATTAATTTAACTAAGTTTGAAAAGAAACTAATATCCTATAATGGAAAAGAATCTGAAGCTGTACAATTGAAACTAACACAATATTGTAAATCAACTATAGTTTACAAATGAAATTGAAAAAAAGAAGCAATCCCAATAGGAAAATCACAGCTCTCCCAGGCATCTTCCTTTCTCTCTGAAGTGTGGCCCACTCATTCCCATAGCTGTGCTCCTTAGATTAACAGTGGAGGACGCTACCATGTTGATCACTTTGGACTCACAGCAGTGTCCAGACATGTCACTTACAACTCCTCATCTGAGAAGTCCCGGGTCATCTGTCTACCTGTCCTCATTATTTCAGTGACAGAACTCTCAGTCACCCCGCCTCCTTCATGGAAGTCTGGCCCTTGGATGTTATGTCTTCTCTTTTCTTTCAAGTTTCTGGACAACCTCAAGGTTCATGTGTGTGACCCACCTGCAACCTGGGTTTCCAGTGTCCTGAGCTCAGCATGACTTTTATCCCAACTCCCGTGCCCGACAGGGACCTGGTCTTCGCTCAGAGCTACTCCACTTCCAAAAACACCCATTCTCTGACCACGATCTCCTTTTCTTCTAACTCTATTGTTGTGATATTTTCTTTATATCTCTTTTTCAAAACTCATTTCGTTGACCTTCTAATTCTTTCTTTTTTATATGTGCCCACTCCAGCCTTTACTTGCTTCCATTTCCAGCTTAAGTTGCATAGTCCACCAACTTTGACAACTCTTCTGCCAATACATTGTCCTCACTGACTCCA